GTCCGGTTTTTCATATATTAACCTGTCAACTATTTGTTTCTAATGAATTGAGATCCACGTGGCGATTTAAAAAAAATGATATACTAACGCTTGCTCTGTATAATTCCTTTTTGTAGACATAGAAGGCTCAATTAATTTGGCACAGTGATCTAATATAACATAAAAAGACGGACCAGCTACTGATCCAAACCTTTTAGTCTTGCTTGCTAATATAGGAAAACTATTGACAAGCTAGTGTTTTCAACTCTAGTGCTACATAATAATCTCCACCATATAGATAAACAAAGCATCTAGTCATTTGTTCGGTGTTCTGCCAAACAACACGTATGATATATCTCTATGAAATCCCAACATCAAAGGTCATTAAATACTTTTATGCGCAAGATCCACGATACATGTTCAAAAATCTAAAGAAAAATATATTATTCGGATAGTACGAAGTAAATAATTATTCAGATTAGTAATGGGCTTCATTAGATGTTTAAGTTATTTGGAATATATTTGAAATAAAAGGAATTGCAAAGCAACCATTCATTGCTGAAATTCAATTTTTAGGCCTAGTGGCATTTCGCTGACAACCAAACCTCTGTACAGTTTCATAGTTGCAGGTGGACAGGGTCGAAAGGCAGACAAAACTAGCAGTCGCTCTAGGAACAGGCGGCATCAGTGATATCGTCCTAGTTGAGAGGGCATAGGGGTTAGTGATATCGTCCTAGTTGAGAGGGCATAGGGGTTAGTGATATCGTCCTAGTTGAGAGGGCATAGGGGTTATGGACACAATGGTCATAACTCTGAAGAAAGAGATCCCGATCCGACAACCTTTGTTGACAGTTTGCTATTGCTATCTGGGCATACGTCGATGGTTAGTCCTGCTTGGACCGATGGAATGTGTAGTGTCTAAGTAAAAATAGATTGCTGGTGCAAGGTCGTTTTCCATACGATCTACTGCCCTCGTCTTCACTTGGCACCGCGCAACACAAAGGTCAAATTTATTTCCTCATGCCTCCTAATCCAAGGTTGTTGTGTAGGCTCTGGTTGTTCTAATACTAGCCGACGAAGCATCCTCGTTCTTTGAGGGATTATCTTGGCTGTACAAAGTCTGAGAGCTCAACGGTTAATTATATAGGTCATGATGACCTATACATATTTACATGTGAGGTTGCCGGGACGGAGATGCATGTGCTTCATCAATCTCCCTCTACAATTCCAAATGCATTTGACTGGTAGTTGGTTGTCATCGTTACTGCATGGACAATTATGTTTGGTGGAAGAATTAATCAACTTCACATGAATGCAGGGGCTCTCATTTTCCCCTTGTCTCTTTCTTGCTCCTCTCGCTCTATCTACACTTGTTTGCTCCCCCGTCCGTTTACATTGGCTCATCCGAATAGGGAGGGGGAAGAGGGGCTTTGCACTCTCCTCTAGTTTGCAAATCCCTTTTCTGTGCGTCCTTCATGGTTCGTGTTGGGGATTTTGAGCCGAATCAGATGTGTCACCATCATTTTGAACCTATTCCTGTAGTCACCATTGTCATAGCACTTCGGCAAAAGGAAACACAAAAAACATACAAACCCCAAATACTACTCACACCATCGCAGCACAAAGCAAAAGGCATATTAAATACGGTCTCAAAACCTCTGCATACAAAGTCACATTCTTCCAAACACCAGATCATCCTTTTTCTTGAGGAGATCGAGTCCTTCCTAAGTAAACCTTTTGTGTGCCTCTTCGAAAAGGGCGTGGGCGCATAACTTGTCCGCCACCCATATTGCTTATATCAAATGTTTATTGAGGTCGTCTTGAGCAATGTACACAGTCTTGAATATATTTGCAAATGAGATTTTGGAGGATCGGTGGTTGGGCAATGCACCACTCAGCGACCAATATCCAGGATTACCCCACATTTTGTGTAGCAAACACAACACGAGTGAACAAATATTAAGTACCTCACCTCCTATGAGTCTATGACTTACTCAGGCCTAGGCTATATTCAACTGTGACATAGTTCTGACGAGTTCCGGTGGAATCTTCACCAGGACCGGAAGTTCTTGGTCAGCTCTATATACTGGATTTTCCTCCACTATGATGCCCCACTTATTAAAAATTTGGAAGCTTAAAACATCTATCATCGTGGGAGCGTTAGCACTTAGCACTGTATTAGTCCCTTTGACTATGTAAAAATTATGTGCTTTTTGAGAAAAA